AGATCCTTGCATTGCTGAGAAGGGCTAAGTCTGTCAAAGTTAGTCATTGCACAGTGTGGCTGTTACTGTGTACAACATTCTCCTGGTTCTGCCCACTTTACTCAGTGTCAGTCCATACAAGTCTTTCCAGGTTTTTCTGAAGTCTGCCTGGTCATCATTTCTTATAGTACAATAGTACTCCATTACATTGATATATCACAATTTGTTCAGCCATTCCCCAATTGATGGGCATCCTCTCAATTTCCAGTTCTTTGCCACCACAAATATTTTTGTACATGTGGGTCCTTTTCCCATTTGTATGATCTCTCTGGGATATAGCCCTAGAAGTGGTATTGCTGGGTCAAAGGGTATGCACATTTTTATAGCCCTTTGGGCATAGTTCCAAATTGCTCTCCAAAATGGTTGGATCCTTTCACAACCCCACCAACAATGCATTAATGTTCCAATTTTCCCACATCATCTCCAACATTTATCATTTTCCTGTTTTGTCATGTTGGCCAATCTGGTAGGTGTGATGTGGTACCTCAGAGTTGTTTTGATTTGTATCTCTCTAATCAATAGTGATTTAGAGTATTTTTTCATATGACTATAGATAGCTTTAATTTCTTCCTCTGAAAACTGCCTGTTCATATCCTTTGACCATTTGTCAATTGGGGAATGACTTATATTTTTATAAATTTGACTCGGTTCTCTATATATTTTAGAAATGAGGCCCTTATCAGAGACACTGGTTGTAAAAATTCTTTCCCAGTTTTAAATATCTGTTTCATTCTGCACCTCAAGGCCATCCCATCGCCTCTCATCAGGAGGCGCCTTATGTGTGCTGGGAATCGTGGGTGGTGATTTCTTTGAACAGACACTTTGGATGGGCCGCATTTGAACAGGAGGAGAGTGGGCCGGATGGCCTTTGGGAAATTACAGAGTGCTTTTAGTGGCCACCAAACAACTTTCTGAAGCATCGGCCCATCTTTCTAGTGTTAACAGTTGTCAGGAGATGCTGTGTTTATTAAAAGTGCTAGGCATTGGGTGATAGATGCAGAAGTGAGATAGGCCCTGACCTGTAGAAACTTATGTTCTACTGGGATGATAGATGCTCGCAGAAAAATAAGATCTGGGCGTGTACAAAATGAATGCGTAATAATTTGGAAGGAAGCTCTCACTGGGGGAATCAGGAGTGGTCTCTTGAAGGAGATGGCATTTAAGCTGAGCCTTAATGGGAGCTAATAGTTCCAAGGGGCAGAGGTCAGGAGGGAAAGAAGACCAGGTATAGGGACAGCATGTGCAAAGGCACAGAGGTGGGAGATTGGATGTTGTATATGGGAAACTTCACATCGGTCATTGTGGTTGGAGTTCGGTTGGGGAAATAATGGGCAGTCAGCTTGGAAGGTTTGGGTAGAACCCGATTGTGGAGGGCTCTAAGTGCCAGGCATAGGGGAGATATGTTATATTCTAGAGGTAAGCGGGGGGGAGTGACTTGATAAGGTCTGTCCTAAGAACGTCACTTGGTCAGAGTGTTACTTGTTGACCGACTGAGGAAAAGCAGGGGGACAAGCGCCTGCACTTAGGCAAGGTGGGATGCCGTGAGCAGGAGCCACGATGAGGTGTGGAGGAAGTGGAGCCAAGGAGACTTAGCGCCCGGTGGGAGGGAATGAACAGGGTGAGTTCAGGATGACCCCATAGCTGCAAACAAGGTGAATGTCAGAATGGCAGTAGAGACAGGGGGGCTGGGAGCAGGGGGTTTGGGGAATAGATGATGAGTCCAGTTTCAGACTTGTTGAATTTGAGATGATAGGGAGGTGGGGAAGTCTGGGAGGAAGTTGGAGATCCAGGCTGCGAGCTTATTAGGGAGGCAGTGTGGTACAGTGGGAAGGGTCCTGACTCCAGAGGCTGGGGACCTTGCTCTGAAGCTTGCTTCTCTGTGTGCTGAGTCCAGTCATTTAACTTTACTGGGCAGGCCTCAAGTTCTTTATCTGTAAAAGGAGGGAGTTGTGCTCAGTAGCTTTTAAGGTGCCTTCCAAATCTGTTTCTCTGTTCATAATATCTATGACCAGAGGATGGGCTAGATCTGGGTTTTTTGTTTTTTAAGGCAATTGGGGTTAAGTGACTTGCCCATGGTCACACAGCTAGTAAGTGTCAAGTGCCTGAGGCCAGATTTGAACTCAGGTCCTCCTGACTTCAGGGCCAGTGCTCTTTCCACTGCGCCACCTAGCTGCCCCTAGATGGGCTAGCTCTGTATATTTGGGAGTTACTCACCTAGAGAGAGATAACAGTTGGACCCATCTAGCTAGAACAAATGGGGAAGGCCTAGCCTTAGAGGCCTGGAGAACACCCCTTCCCAGGGTGCTGAATGCGGATGATGACCCTGCAAAGGAGCCCAAGCAGGCTCAGTTAGAGGGGAGGAGAGAGGATGTGGGAGAAGAGGGTGTTGACAGTATTCAGTGCTTTGAGAAGGATGAGGATGCAGAAAAGGCTGTTGGACTGGCAGTGAGAAGATCATCGAGGGACCCATTTCAGTTGAGTGGTGGGGACAGAAGCTAGATGGCCAAGAGCTGAGAAGTGAGGGGCAGGTGAGACAGTGGAGGCGATCACTGATCATACTCAACCTCTTCTAGTAGTTTGGCTGTGCCAGGTAGAAGTGGTATGGGACAATAGCTCAAAGAGATGGTAGGATCAGATCTAACGATGGGGGATCTGGGCGGGGAGGAAATGCGAGTGTGTAAAGGAGAGGTTGAAAATGAGGGAGAGAGAAGGAGGGGTCGCATGAGCAGCAAGATAGCAGATACAAGACGTTATTTTCTCTGATCCCAAAGCAACCTCAGTTGTTTCCGTGGTCTAGGACAGGGCTTCTCAAACTTTTTCTGCTTGGGACCCCTTTTTGGTTTTGGCAGCATTTGTAGGTGCATAGTCTGAGGGCTTGTATAGTGCAAAGTGCACGTGCTTTGTGTTCAGAACCAAGGCTGCGGTGAAGTTGCAAGATGCAGAACGAGCTAGGGTTCATAACACGTTTGATTTTTAATTAATTTTTGGTCATTGCATGGTCAGAAACCTTTTACTGTTGCCCATATGGGATCGCAACCCACAGTATAAGAAGCGCTGGTCTAGGACGCCCAGAATCCAAAAGAAGGTTAACCGCCTTCCCCCCCCCACAAAAAAAAACAACTGATGTTCACTGTCCCTGAGTTCGCTCAGTATCCCTCCTCCACCTCTCATGCTACCAAAGTGAGGTGGCACCAGGAGACCCAAGGACACCACAGAGACTTATACCACAACACGCTCTCTCTTTCCGGTACCATAGAGACCCTGGCTCCAAGCTGTGGAAGTTTGCTCAGGCTTTGGCGGCCGACTTGGCCATAGCTCTTCAGGAGCAAAAGCCTTCTGGGAGTGCAGCCCAGAAGCACCAATGCTGAAAATCTCTGAGCTGCCCGTGCTGGGCCATCTAAGGAACTAATGATGGGGCAGGTTACCAAGACAGGACTGCGTGCGCACGGAGGGCCATGTGAGACTCCACCAAGCCAAAGAGAATGAGCGTGCATCCCACGGGGGCCATTTCTGACCACCCAGAAGTTAGTTGGGGCAGAGACCTGGGCTGGTGAATCGCCCAGTGTGGAAGGATGCTGCTTCGCTTTGAGATCCAGTCCCCAAGGAAACCAGAATCAGTGAGGAAGGAGTAAAAAGTGAGTCACAAGAAAAGTAAGGGGGAAGAAGACTGAACACACTAAAGATTGCAAGAAGAAGAAAACTGAAAGGCCTTGAATACAAATAGATAAGTCAGCAGACAAACAGCAAGAACAGAAAGAAATACGGCTTCCAGATCTAGTAAGCAATATCAGGCATCTGTGACTAGGTACTGCAAAGTGGAGGAAAATGATTCAACACTTGCCGAGACGGAGGACCCTGTGGAAGTCGAGGATAGAACCACAACTTGCTGTTCCTGAGTGGTGTAAAAGAGAAATGAGGATTACGAGAGCAGTGTATTTTCCACACAGCAGAAATAATGAGCAGAATAGGAAAAACTTGAATCTGTAAGGGCAAACCTCACCAAAGGAAAAAAGACAGAACAGTAGATTGGGAATGCAAATACACAGAAGTGAAGGAGAGAAGGAGAGGAGCAAAAAACAAAAACATTAAAGAAAATATAGTCACGATGCAAGCCAAATGTACAGATCTTGAAGGGAGGATGCATAGGGACAGCCTAAGGACCATAGGTCTCCCAGAAGAACGTGGCAGGACAAAAAACCTTCACACCATAATGAAGGACGTAATAGAAATAAAGAAATGCCTTCAGAAATATAAACTATCCAAACTGTCAGAAGATCAGATAGCAAAGGACCCTCCTGAACAACCATTTGGGGCTTCTGATGAGTGTACTGGAGACAGCATTGGACCTAGAGTCGAGAAGACTTGGGTTCAAATCCCACTTCCGACACTTCCTGTTTGTAACCCTGGACAAGCCCCTTCTCCTCTGTCTGCCTCAGTTTCCTCCTCTGAAGGAGGTGGTTGGATTCGATGGCCTCGAAGCTTGAATTCTAGAATCCTAAGATGCTCTAAGTCTCTATCGATCTTTTCAGGCTATCTGTTCTCCACAGAGACAAGCTTAGCAAATGAAATCTCAAAATGAAACGCCCCCAAAGTGACAGTGCAGGTCATCCATGCGGCAAAGCTCGCACCTGGCACTCCTAACGCATGAAAACCAGGTGGCTGATTGCCTGAAGAAGGCTACTTTCACTCAGCTGTCAGAGGGCCTGGGAGGATAGCAAAGGGCTGAGCTGGTTTGGGTGGGTAGAATGAACAAGGGAGGGCTTCCTGGAAGAGACGAATTGGGTAAGCAGTAGAAAGACCTGGAATGGGAGATCCAGAGAGAGAGGCAGAGGGAGGGAGGGGGGAGAGGAGGAGGCAGGAAGGGAGGCAGGAGGGGGCATCCCATGGAAGGGGAATGGTCTGTAGGAGGAAGGTGCTTAGCAACCACATGGATTTGGATCATTCCTTTGCTCTGGTTGCAGGGGCTGGTCAGGACGTGGGCCGCAGTTGCATCCTTGTCTCCATCGCAGGCAAGAATGTCATGTTGGATTGTGGGATGCACATGGGCTACAATGACGATGTAAGTTCTTCAGAAGCCCCAGAGGGTGGGGGGTTATTGGGAAGGGCGGGACCCCGGAGGTGTGCTCAGAGAAATTCCCAAACCTGAGGCGTAAATAAAGCTGTCTCCCCCCATCTTCCCCTTCCCCTTTGTGTGAGGCATCTTCATGGCCTCGGGGAGCCATAGAGAACCTTGTCCTGCCTTTTAGTAGCTGTTGGCACCAAGGCCTGTCTCAGAGCCACCTGATTTCCCTCAGTCTGAGTCAGGCACCAGGGGCCTGGGCTGTGGGGGGGCGCTGCCTTCAGTCCCACCATTGTTTTCCCTCCAGCACAGCCTGGCTTAGGGCAATGCAGGACCTTCAAGGCAGGGCAGACCAGGCCAGGAAGCTGGATGGGAGGCATTCTTCCTGGCTTGCTTATTTGCTCATGAGCTGCTTAAGGGGTGGGTGAGCATTTGGCCTAAGTACTGGGGAGTAGGTGCTTTGGTCCAGGGCCTGGGCTCTGTCACCTGCTGTGCAGGTCTGCCTCTGCATTGGCTCCCAGCCCTGGGCTTAGTGCCATGACCACTTTTGGTTAGGGCTGGGCATATATTGCCCAGAACCCTGTGCTTAGGAGCTTTCCTATAGGGTAGAAACAGCCCTAAATGAGGAACGTTTTGGGGGTTTGAATCTGCCTTTTTTTTTTTTTTTAAATAACCACAGGCAGAATGACTGGTTTGCAAGGTCACCCCAGAGCCCCAAAGTTGGCAGCATTTCCACCCTTCACTTCTGAGCTCTTCACAGCTTTAAAAAATAAATGAGGCAAAGTAAGAGCTCCACGGGGCCCGATCCGGTGGCCCAGCTCTAATGTCTGACGCCATTGTTCCATGCTGGTCTGGTTCTGCTCTCTCCCAAGGTGCCCCGGCTCTGAGTCCCCTGGGTCCTCCTACTGAATAACAGAGCCTTTTTCTGTTTTGCTTTTCCTTAGAGACGCTTTCCAGATTTTTCTTACATTACCCAGAACGGAAGGTTGACTGACTTCCTGGACTGCGTCATTATCAGGTAGGAGCCTCCATGGGATTATTAGAAGTGAGAGAATTTATTGGAGTAGGAGAACCTGGCCCTGGAAGGCAATCTCCCCTGGTACTCCCTCTCAACTCTCCCGAGACTGTTGCCAGGCTCAGCAGCCACTTCATCGTCCTCGGAGTAAAGGTGGCTTTCTGCTTACAGTGGGTGCCTGGGCTCTGACCACTTGCACCAGGCAGTAAAGCCCCTGGTGGCCTGCCCTCCACACTGTAACTCAGGCACAGCTAGATGGTTAACTCTGAGGGGCCTACCTGGGAGGTGAGCACAGGCTGAGTCCTGGCCTTGGCACATCTGCCCTATAGCCAGTGAGTGACTGGTCTGGTCACAGAAACACAGGCCCTTAGATTTAGAGTCAGCTACTCTGACCCTGCATTTTACAGCCTGTCTGTGTCAGAGGTCAGACTTTTGAATCCAGGTTGTCCTCATTCTGACGCTAACTCTTTCTGCCCCATACCATGCTGCCTCTGATGTTATAAACCTTAGAGGCTGTGGGGTATGGAAAGAGGGCTGACCTTGAGCCCAGATCCCATTTCTGCCGCTCACTGTGGACTTTGGCTAAGTCACTTGACTTCTCTCTGCCTCAGTTTCCTCATCTGTAAAATGACGGGGTTGGGGTAGGTGACCTCTAACATCCCTTGCATCTCTAAGTCTCTGATTCTTCAGTTGATATAAAAATGTGAATTGTCTTTTGCCCAGTGGAGGGTTTTAAGCAACCAGGTGATGGCCGAAGCAGTCCTAAAGGCCCTACCCAACAGCAATGTTGTCTGTGAGGGCTGCTTTCTAAACTATAGGACGTCCCCCTCTTGGGCTGATTCCCCCAAATCGAAGGTGTGCAGTCCTCTCCTTAGAGTGCCATGGGGGAGCTGGAACGCACCCTGAACAGAGGGGAGAATGGACCCTAATGGATCCTGAAGTCTGTGGGGTCACATCCTGGAGCAAACGTTGAGCTGCTCAGTGCCATGGGGGCTGAGGAAGGGGATTGTTTGGAGGAGCGAGCTGACCACTACAGGAAGGAGTGAGTCTGGACACGGCCCACACAGCTGGCAGCCTCAGGACTCCCACTCCAGGCCACTTTCTTTTCTTTTAAAAAATACTCTTTATTGATAAATTATGTTTTAATGCAGCAGATAAACATAAACCCTCAAACCAACCACAGTGTATACTTCCCGAAGACTGTTAAACCAAACAACGGAAGAGTGTTTACATGGACAGTAGTGAATGCCCTTTTGTGATTTCCCACTTGTTAGGAGAGCAGAAGTCCAGATGTTTGAACAAGATGGTCCCAGTGTTGTCCGTCGTCTTAACCCGACTTACGTTGCCATCATATATTGTCTCCATTTGCGTAGTTAAAGTAGATGCGTTTCTTACTCTCCCGGTCCTGCCGTCTTCTCTCTGTGCCACTTTTTAATTCTTCGTGTTTGTCATTCTTGATAACCTAGCCACTTCCACTTGGACCACTGTGGGGCCTTGCCTTACTTCAGTGAGATGGTGGGCTACGATGGACCCATCTACATGACTCATCCTACCAAGGCCATCTGCCCCATTCTGCTGGAGGACTACAGGAAGATTACTGTGGATAAGAAGGGGGAAACCAACTTCTTCACTTCACAGATGATCAAGGACTGCATGAAGAAAGTCGTGGCTGTCCACCTCCACCAGACTGTCCAGGTCAGGGGGCACTGTTTGGAAGACCCCGGGGCACTGGCATCGGCTACCTCTTGGGGTTAGCCAAGGCTGGCTTCCCCTCTAGGAGCCAGCGGGGGGTGCTCCATATTGCAAGCTAACTCAGCGCTTCCTAAACCCTCCATTTGGAGGCCGTGATCCACAGTTTAAGAAGCGCTGAAGGGGTTGTGAGTAGAAAAAGCTTAAGAAGCCCTAATTTCCAGCCTTTGCCCAGTTCACTACAGGTGTGTTGGGTTAGGTATTCCAAAGCTGAAATACAGATAACCTCTAGTAGTGCAGGGTGGGTGACAGCCAGCCTTAGCCATGAGCTGGAAAAGCACCTGGAAAACCCAATACTTCCTGCTGCATTTTGCTCCGTGTAACAGAGCGTAACGGTGGCTGTGTGGACATTGAATCCTGTTTTAAAAGTTCTTTGAGGTCTCACTGTTTCACAGTGATCGTCTAGTCCAACTCATCCTCCCTCCTCCAAAACCAAACCCAACCTGGATTATGACCCCCCTGCAAAGGGCTACCAGCCCCAGCTTGAAGGAGCCCCAGCCGTTTAGGAGACCCTGTCTGTCTCAGGGCTGCCCATTGCTTTCATTGTTAGAAAGCTAATGAGCTCCAATTGTTAGGAAGTTTTTACTAATTTCAGGCCTAAATCTGCCTCCACACCATCCACTCCCTCACTGCTTCTGGTTCTGCCCTCTGGGGCCTAGTGCTTGAAGGCAGCCCCCATGGCCTCCTTGAGTCTTCTCTCCTGTTGTCACTCGCCTCCTTTGGCCTTGTGAATAACTCCCTCTTAACTTTTCTCTTTTGTAAATGTTGATGTCTATACCTCTGTTAAGAGCCTCCTTCTGCCATGTGCTGTACAGAGCAGGTCAGGCAGCACCGTGCTTACTCTCAAAGAGCTTCCAGTTTGAGAAGGAGATACTAAAGCACACTGAGAGTATAACAGTTGATGGAACCTTAAACCTTGGGCAGAGATGCCCCAGCAGGCCAGGAGGAGAGAGGGGACTGCCTCACTGGGAGTGGGGAGGGAAGAAAAGGGGAAGTATGGAGGGAAATATCCTGGCAGCAGGGGCCCATCAGGTGCTGCATGGGTTGGCTCAGGGGCTCAGTCTTGGTGGTCTTTGGTCTGAGTATGTTGAGGAGAAGAACCCAGCAGTTACCATGAGGGATGGGGGTGGGCTAGACCAGGAGCCATTTTTTCTTTTCCCTTTAAAACTCTGGCTGCAGTTTTGATGGGAGCGTTCCCTTTAGAGGGTAAAGGCATTTCTGGTGGCAGGTTGCTTTTCTGGGAAGCCTCAATTCCCAGTTGTGGCAGTGAACAAAGATTGGGTTTGTGCCTTCCCGGTGTCTGTGCCAGCTACCTGTGCTGCCCACCCCTGCCTCCCTTTCTGCCCATTCTGTACTGCCTTCTGTCACAGCCTGCAGGAATGAAAGCTGGTTTCTTCCCTCTGTAGGTGGACGATGAGCTGGAAATCAAGGCCTACTATGCGGGGCATGTGCTGGGTGCTGCCATGTTCCAGATCAAAGTTGGCTCAGAATCTGCAGTTTACACAGTAAGGCGCTTGACCTACCTGGGTGTGAGGGAGAGGTGGTTTTGGGAAATGGGGAGGGATTGGGCAGATGCTGATCTCTGCTTCCCTCTGGCTCTCTTTGGCTAGGGTGATTATAACATGACTCCGGACCGGCACTTAGGGTAAGTAGGATGACGAGCTTCTGCTCCAATGAATCATTTGTTGTTTTTTTTTTTCCCCTCCTGGAGGATGCAAAGCAAGGATGCCTGTCAACCTGTGCAGGTGTGGGTGGCTGTTTATGTTCCCTGGGTAGATGTCTGCTTAGAGCAGCCTGCACTAGAGGAGCGTTTGAGAGCTTCGTTTTTAATTGTAATTCTGTACCAGTTGGGATCGATCCTCCCAGGACCTCTGACAGCTGAGTGAAAGTAGCCTTCTTCAGGCAATCAGCCACTTGGTTTTCATGCGTTAGGAGTGCCAGGTGCGAGCTTTGCTGCATGGATGACTAGAGTGGGGTTACCTGCACTGTCACTTTGGGGGCGTTTCATTTTGACCAGGAGATTTCATTTGCTAAGCTTGTCTCTGTGGAGAACAGATAGCCTGAAAAGATCGATAGAGACTTAGAGCATCTTAGGATTCTGGAATTCAAGCTTCGAGGCCATCGAATCCAACCACCTCCTTCAGAGGAGGAAACTGAGGCAGACAGAGGAGAAGGGGCTTGTCCAGGGTTACAAACAGGAAGTGTTGAAGTGGGATTTGAACCCAAGTCTTCCTGACTCTAGGTCCAATGCTGTCTCCAGTACACTCATCAGAAGCCCCAAATGGTTGTTCAGGAGGGCCCTTGTCGGCCAAGCTCAGTGCTGCCCGTAGAGTCAGGCAGGTGGGCCGTCCTTGCCTGGGAGTGTCAGGCAGAAGCCAGAGCCTCCTGGGCGACTGGAGAAAGGTGACGGCAGACGCGAGTGTAGACGCTTGAGCGTAGGGGAGGAGAGCTGGGCAGGCTCAGACTGTGGCATGGAGCTTCATGGCGGGCGTGGGCCTTGCCTTGCAGGGCTGCCTGGATCGATAAGTGCCGACCCAACCTGCTCATCACTGAGTCCACTTACGCAACGACCATCCGAGACTCCAAGCGCTGTCGAGAGAGGGACTTCCTGAAGAAAGTCCACGAGACGGTGGAGAGGGGCGGAAAGGTAAGCGAGCGAGATGGGGCCTCTTCCCTCGGGCCTCACGGCTCGGGCTTCATTCTGTAGCAGAGGGGGACGAGACCAGAAGTAGAAGTTAGTCAGTCACTGAGCATTTATTAAGCACTTACTGTGGACTGGGCACTGTGCTGTGCACTTGGAATGTACCAGCAGGATGACAGTCCCTGCCCTCGAGAAGCTTCCATCCTAATTGGGGCAGGACAGCACGTAAAAGGGGCTGAAGAGGGGAGGGAGAGAGGGCCCGTAGGCCTTTGGAGATGAGTCTTCTGGACAGCCTGGGGAGGACGGAGTGCCGCGGACATCCTCTCCACTGACTCACTGAAGCATGTGTGACACTCTGGGATGACCGAGGGAGGCAGTGCGTCATGTGTGCTCAGCTTCGCTGTGGCTGCCGCCCCTCCAGGCCTCCAGGCCCAGGCTCTGCCACCAGTGTGGCCCAGAGCTCTGTGTGGGGGCTGTGGGGGCCATGTGGCTGCCCCTGGGGCACCCTGCGTGACAGCGTTCCCATTCAACCCCCTGCCTGGGAGAATCAGCCTCTTGCGTCCTCCTTTCTGGTCAGGTATCCCACGTGGCCCGTGCAGCCTCTGCTCATTGTCTCTTCTCCCCTTCCCCATCTGCCGAGGCGTAGGTCTGACCCTGTTATTCCTCTGCTCGGTAAATTCCGGTGGCTGCCTATTACCTTCAGGACCAAATACATAAGCCCATTGTTTGGCATTCAAGGCTCTTTACAGATTGACCTCTTTCTACCAGTCCAGTCTTACATTCCTCTTCTCTCCACAGACTTTCACAAACGATCCAGTCATGCTTGTCTACACTTGCTCTTCCACTCACTCTCTGTCCCCTCTCCAAGCCTTTGCACTGGCTGCTCCTTATTCCAGGAGTATCCCCCCTCACAGACTGTGCATTCTTAGAATTCCTGGCTTCTGTGAAGTCTCGGCTCAGTGGTGCATTCTGGTCTCCCTGTGTTGTCTTTGCCGCTCGAATGTGAGTTCTGTGAGGGCAGGAGCCATTTCGCCTTTTTCTTTATACTCTCAGCATGTAGCTCAGTACCTGGAGCCTACATGGAGCTTAGCACAGTCTTGTTGACTGATGGATGACATCTCCAAGGGCCAGGGCTGGGCACCGGAGAACCAGACCCTCAGGCCCAGCTCTTGTGATGCCTTTAAGCAGCATCCTAGGATTTGGAGCTGGAAGGGACCTCGTAAGGTCATTAGAAAGGGAAGGAAACTGAGGCCAGAGGCCAGGACTCCCAATCCAGCCTTCTTTCCCCAGCAGCACATTTTCTCCAAAGTTGGTGCTGAATTAGGAGAGCCAGCTGAGGCTGTCCTCTGAGACGAGTTGGCATTCTGGGAAAAGAAAATGATGATTCCTTAGAACCAGTCAGCAAAGCAGCTGCCCCCGGAGACTTGCTTTCCTTGGCGGAGCTGGGGACTTCCTGGCCGCGTCCATCCAGAGAGCAGACAGACCCAGAGGGGGATGCCCACACATGAGTTATTCTCTCCTTGAGGGAGTTAGTTCGACCTTTTCCTTGAAACATGGGTGGGGTGGGAATGATCACAGGGCCATGGAAAAGGGAGTAGATGAGGCTGCTCGTGACCGATGCTTCTGGGCCTGGGCCCTTCCCTCTGCAGGTTCTCATCCCGGTGTTTGCTCTGGGCCGGGCTCAGGAGCTCTGCATCCTGTTGGAAACGTTTTGGTAAGTGAACCTTTGGCTTCAGCCCCTCTTAACAAGCGTAGTGGGGGGGAGGCGTGCTGTGTCTGCCTGGGAGAGGGTGTCTCATTGGTGCGTTTCTGCCCTTGCTTACACACACGTGCCCGCGTGTGTAGAGAGGAAATCCCTTGAAGCCTCGTGCCCTCACGGCCAGAATCTTTGCACGGCAGTGATTTCTAAGAGTCCCCGTGGCGCACGCGGGCCCAGCGTGACACCCGGACTGAGCAGCGTGACACAGCCGCAGCGGCGTATGCCTCGCCTTTCACTTTGGGGTTCTGCTCGTGGTGGATGGAGAAGCGGGAGCACGCGAGTTCTTTGGGAATAGTTCAGGCCAAGCGTAAGAACCGCGTTCTGAGCCGCTGGCAGAGCCAGGCCCCCGCCGTCCCTGCACACGCAGTCGCCCGGGTCAGCCGGGCCCACAGCAGAAGGCGGCTCATTGGGCCTGAGGTCCGCGGAGAGGCCCTGCAGCCAAGCAGGCGGGCGGCGTGGCCCGGCAGGACAGCTGCTGGCGGGCACTGACCCCGTCCTTTCTCTCCCAAAGGGAAAGGATGAGCCTGAGAGCCCCCATCTACTTCTCCACGGGCCTGACGGAGAAGGCCAACCATTACTACAAGCTCTTCATCACCTGGACCAATCAGAAGATCCGGAAAACCTTTGTGCAGAGGAACATGTTTGAGTTCAAACACATCAAGGCTTTTGACCGAGCTTTTGCTGACAACCCTGGACCGATGGTACGGGAGGGTGGAGACCAGCTGGGCCCCCTGCCCAGGCTGGGCCCAGAGCATGTCGGGGGGGTCCGAATGGCTGCCGCGCTGGCACACGCTCATGGCGGCCCCCCGTGCGGTGGGGCGAGCGGGGGTGGGCCTCGGCCTCTAGCACTCCTAGAGGCAGTGCACTCGGAAACTGGCCTCGTTTACTGCTCGGGGCTCGAGGCGGCGCCCCTCTCTGGACCTCACTGTTCCGAGGCCTGCTCTGTCGGGTTCGGGGAGGCTGCCGTGATCAGGGGATCATGGTGGGGAGCTGGGGAGTGTGTTTTGAGGGTCTGGCCCCTGAGGGGCTCCGGCTGCAGCCTCAAGTGCTCATGCTCGAGCATCCACGAAGTTAGGGCTGGGTCTCTTTGGGCGTACCACCCTGGCTCCTGGCTGGGTCAGGCCCCATTGTCCCTTCCACACCCTCTCCACAGCCAGCAGTGGTACAAGGGCAGGTCCCTGGGGTGCCTATGACTGCAACTTCTCCTTTCTCCACCCAGGTTGTCTTCGCAACTCCAGGCATGCTGCATGCCGGCCAGTCCCTGCAGATCTTCAGAAAATGGGCCGGGAATGAGAAGAACATGGTAAGGGGGTGGCTGGCACCTGGTGACCCGTGCTGGCTCATGGGGCAGGAACTGCCAGGAATCTTCCTGGTTATTTAAGGAAGAATTAAAGGGTGGGGCAGGGACAGCTGTCCTCCCCATGTAGGAAGAAGAAGCCTTTAGCATTTCACATGGTCTGTGGACTCAGAGATGGGGAGGGCATGGAGCAGAGGGCTTGGGGCCCAGCTGTTCCTCTTTGGATGGGTGGGCTGAGGGCAGGGGGGTATGGCTGAGGAGTGCTCCTTTCTCCCTGCTAGTATCATGCCTTGGAGCCCGGTCCGGCGCCGTCTGGTCCCTCCTGCCCCTCCGCTGAGCTCTCTTCCAGGGAGGAGGTCTCCAGTGCAGACCATCACTACCCACGTCCCTTAGGGCCCCCCTTCCCAGGACAGGAAGCCCCCCCACAGAGCATGCAGAGCTCACACGGTCCTGTGGGGAGCTCAGTGCGCACAGCTCCTTAGCTGCATTTCCTGCCTGCCCTTCGTGGTGCGTTCTCCCTTGGGGAGGCCTCCGCAATGGCAGGGGATGCACAAGTCCTCCACGCGGAGCAGCTTGGCCTGCCCAGAAGCGTTGCATTCAGAGTGTTAGGTGAACTCGTGCTGCTTGGGCCCCGAGGAGAGCCTCACCATCTGGTTTCTGGCGCCTAGGTCATCATGCCGGGCTACTGTGTTCAGGGGACCGTGGGCCACAAGATCCTGAGCGGACAGCGGAAGCTGGAGATGGAGGGGAGGCAGATCGTAAGTCACTAGAGCACTGGTTGGGGACAGGGGTTCTCAGGAAGAGCTCTGGCACCCCACCAGCTGGCCTTGCCCTCCACCTGTCCGGATTTAGAGCGGAAATAGGACCTTGGGCATCTTCTGGTCAGGTGCCCTCCTTTTACAGGGTGCAGATAGTGGCTGTTGACGATTTGGAGTCACATCCTAACTCGACCACTTACAGCCTCTGCCTTTGGGGTCTCAGTTTCCTCATCTGTAAAATGTGACCTTTTAGGCACCATCCAGCTCTGAGCCCGTGAGTCTTTGAAGGGTGTTTCAAGGTTTTCAGAGTACTCTACCTATCTATGTCAGTGCATTCTCCTAACAGCTCTGTGAGGCAGGCCCAGCAGGTCTGGGGTGGGGGGCTGCTGAATGGAACCCCAAGTGGAGCCCAGGAACTGGTCAGTGGGTCTGAGTTCAGAGCTCACCTCGGTGACCTGGTCACTAGGCCTCCTTGGCCTTCCTCACAACAAATGTCCAGCTCTGTTACTGGACAGCTTGGCTCGAAATTCTTTCCACTGGTGGATTTTTGTGACCTTGGGCAGGGCAAGTTGCTTACGTCAGTCGCCTTCCATTCAGTCGTCTCTCAAAAGAAGGGGTTGGTCTGGAGCAGGCATGGCCTAGAGCCAGGATCCCAGAAAAAGAAAGGGGAGCTCAAAGGGTCGGTGTATCTGTCCAGGGTCACCAGGAACGGGCAGGCTTGGGGTCTGAGCCGGTGAGAGGCCTGGAATCGCAGGAGGGTCAGAGGCCAAGGGCCTGAGGGCAGGGCCGGGGCAGGGCAGTCTGGCCGGGGCAGCACAGGGTTCCCATCGGGTGGCTAACTGGGGGTTGAGGGGCTGCATTCCAACTCTCTTGTCTGTACTTACTGAGAAAAGGCTTCTTCCTCGGTGGGCCTGATGGCCCCGAGCTTTTCTTCTGCCATGTCCACTTCTTGTCCAGTTACTCCGTGTTGTCTTTGACTGTTCTTTGCTAACAGTCCCTACATCATCCTGAGTGCCTCCTGCGGTCGGCAGGAGACTCATTGTGTATTTGGGAGCAGCAGCAGTCACCACCTGCTTGCCAATCACCAGCAGGGCCCAGAGGCAGCCCTCCTCTCCCTAGAAGCAGAGCTAGGGCTGGACCCCAACCCTGCCACACCCCCATGTGTCCATCACAAGCCATCTGGAAACGGGGCTCCCCAAGATCCCTCTCAGCTCCTGAGGGCCCTGTGACAGACTGAAGGTGGCATGTGCCCTGTGGCTGTGCCCACGGCCCTGCCAAGCTGGAGTCAGTCCTGGAGCTGTGGCAGTGACTGGGGGGGGCTGCTGTAGCCAGCCCCTCACATCCACTGTGGCGTTCTGTCCTTGGCAGTCCTGGGACAGGTGCTGTCGTTATCCCCGTTTTATAGATGAGGAAACAGGCTGCAGTGAAGTGCCTTGCCTAGGGTCCCATGAGTATCAGAGGCAGGTTTGGAACCCAGGCCTTCCTGCTTCCCCAGGCTGGTGCTCTGTCTTGTACACCGCACTGCTTTACTCGGGTCGCTGAACTGTTGGCAGAGCTGGGCAGGGGGAGGTGTAGCCAGTGAGTGGCAGCCGTGATTGGTGAGGAATTCTGCCTGCCTGTCCTTCATCTCTGTGTGGGTCTCTCTTTTGTCCTTCCTCAGCTAGAGGTGAAGATGCAGGTGGAGTACATGTCCTTCAGTGCCCACGCCGACGCCAAGGGCATCATGCAGCTGGTCCGCCAGGCCGAGCCGGACAACGTGCTGCTTGTCCACGGGGAAGCCAAGAAGATGGAGTTCCTAAAGCAGAAGATTGAACAGGAATTCCGTGTGTGGGGCTGGCCTTGGGAGGGATGAGGGTGGAAGTGCTCTCAGGAGCCCTCAGCAGCCCCACTGTGCAGGTGGACCTAGGTCTCCAGACCTGATCTCCCTCCTTCCCTGCTGGCGGGCCGAGGCTGGATTCGTTAGCATATGGGTAGGGGGACAGTGGTTGGGGAGGGGCTTCCCAGGGACAGGAGGATGCCTTGATTTGGCTGTGCAGGCCTACCCCCGCAGGACCCCCCTTCGGTGGTTTCTGGTCAGCTTGGTTATTGACGTGACCCACCATTGGCCTTGGTGCAGAGGGATGGCCTTCCCAGGAGGCTCGAGGGGCTTTGAGAAGGACCCCCCTGCAGCAGAGAAGAAGGGCCTGCCGGGTTTGAGGTATCCAGGTGAATGGGTCCAAGTTGGCCCAGCTGGCCTGTGGGCTTCTGAAGAGCAGGAGCTGGTGCAGAACTTTGCCTAATCAGTGTTGGCAGGATGAGTGAGGAGGGGAGGCCTGGACCCACCTGAGCAGCTACAGGAATCTGGGTGACCTGCAGCAGGCTGCAGCCGCCCAGGCTCGGTTTTAATCCTGTTATGTTATGCCTTTGTCAGATGTGAACTGCTACATGCCAGCCAACGGAGAGACGGTCACCCTGCTCACCCACCCCAACATCCCAGTGGGCATCTCGCTGGGCCTGCTCAAGAGGGAGATGGCCCTGGGTACTGTCCTGAGGGCGGCGGGGGCACGGGAGGGAGGCCAGGGCGATGAGGTAGTGCTGGCTGAGCCGTGGGGAGCGGTGAGGGGGAGGGGTGTGAGAGGGGTGTCATTGGTGACGGGCTCTTCCACCTCCCCTCCCCCCAGGACTGCTCCCTGACGCAAAGAGGCCCAAGCTTATGCACGGTACCCTGATCATGAAGGACAATGTGAGTGGCCTTGTGGTCCAGGGAGGCCTTCCTGACCCACCCCCCTTCTTGTTGCTGGCCTGGGCTATCAGCTGGGTGTTCAGCATCGTGGACATACAGGGAAACTGAGGGAGCTTCTTAGGTTGGGTGGGCCCTTGGTCTTGGACAGTGCCCTGCTTATTGGTCACCTGGGCTTTTCCCCACCCCTGCAGAAGGGGCAGGTCACTGGTTAAGGGAGGGGCTGGGCAGGTGCTCGGGGCCCAGAGGGACCATGACACTCCCTCCTTTCCCCGCTCTGCCAGAATTTCCGGCTGGTGTCCTCTGAGCAGGCCCTCAAGGAGCTGGGCCTGGCTGAACACCAGCTCCGCTTCACGTGCCGGGTGCACATCCATGATACACGCAAGGAGCAGGAGACCGTGCTGCGTGTCTACAGCCACCTGAAGAGGTGGGGGGCCGCACAGCTGACACGTGTAACAGGGCCTTCTGGGCAGGGCTGCCCTGGTCTGTGGCTTTGAGACACTGAGACGGGCATCCAGGGCCGGGGGAGGGTGCTGGCGGGGAGGGGAGGTCCAGCAGTTGCTCCCTGCAGCTTGCCCACTCTCATCTCTCCTTAGCGTTCTCAAAGCTCATTCGGTCCAGCACCTGCCCGATGGTTCAGTCATGGTGGAGTCCATCCTCATCCAGGCCACTGCCCACTCAGAGGATCCAGGCACCAAGGTGCTGCTGGTCTCCTGGACCTACCAGGTGAGAGGCCTCACCCCTCCTCCCACGTCACATTCAGTCAGCAGGAATGTCTGAGGGATCCTGAGGGATCTCAGGAACATTGGGGTGCCTCTTTTTCCATTTCTGTCCCGGGTGAAGGGCCTTCTCTTTAACCAATATCCATCCCCCTTCCCAGATGAGGAAATGGGCCCTGCAACTGGCCACAAAGCAGCCAGTGCAGAGAATGAGAGCCTGGGTCTCCAGCCCCAGGGCTCTCACCACTGCACGGCACCCTCCCTGCCAAACCCTGTACTCCTGCTTCCACATCCTGGTAGTGCCCCCAGCAGCTAGCCCATGGGCCTCACTGGGGAAGCGCTGACCCTCCTCTTCTGTCTTGGTGTGTAGGATGAAGAACTGGGCAGCTACCTCACATCACTGCTAAAGAAAGGGCTCCCGCAGGCACCCAGCTGAGGGCTGCAGCCAGGAGCTGCTCTCAGCCCGTTTCCTCCTTTCCAGGACACTTTGGACATGCTTTGGAGGGAGGGACCAGGGGTCTTGGTCTGGCCATTCCAGGGAGGGGCTTGTGTGGCTCTCAGCCTTAGCCCCTGCCCACACAAGGTCACCCACTTCAGCACCGGGTGGCCCAGTCCTTACACGGGATGTTCTAGGCCATGCTGACTTCCCTTTGCTTGGTGGGGATCTCCTCAGCTAGCTTGTCAGCTCTGTGAGGGCACAGACTGGGTTTTGTTGACCAGTTCCAACGCCCCTCCCCTCCAAGTGCCTAGAACAGGGCTCAGTCACTGGAGCCTGCCTTTAAGGAGAAGTAAAACAAAAAAAGCTTGGCCATCCTTCTTCCCCCTCTTTTATTCATCTGTAGCAGCAACCCCTTAACTCAGGAATTGGGTCCCATGGTCACTTGTCTCTCCCCACTACATGAACCTGCTTCTCAGGGCCAAAGTGGCAGGTGTAGAAGTGCCAACCCTGCAGTGGCTGGCTGATGGGCTGGGGTGAGGCCCAGCTGCCCTGCCTCCCTCTCTGATCGGCTCAGGGCAGCAGGGTCCTGCTTACAAGGCAGAAAAGAGGCTGGTGGGTGATCTAGAAAGAGAACGTGGTCCCCCCTCCTGAGCTCTGGCTGGTGCAGGAGGTGGCTCTGGAACAGGGCTGCAGGCCCAGGGCCCCTCCCTCCGTGGCCAGCCGGTCGGCTCCTCACAAGGAGGAATGGCTTCATTCTTTGTACCTGTGTCCCCACGCTTGGCTCAGTGTAGGTGACCAGTGGCCAGGCTTGCCCCAAGGCATGCTTCTCCAGCCTGGCTCTCTCCATAGCTCTCAAACTGACCACCCCACCCCACTGGCTGGTTGTATCCCAGTGTGGGGCAAGGGCACTCCGCCAGCTTGCCATCGTAGATGGTAAAAATCTCATTGGGCCTGCGGGAGCAGAGGCGAGCCCAGAACTGGCAACCAGCCCGGGACGCCCAGGGCAGGCAGATGACGGGGCTGAGGCAGGAACCCAGGCTGACCAGCAGCAGTGATACTTGTCGCAGGTGGCCAAGGAAGGGGCTGGGGCTGGTGAGGTGTCGCAGCAGGTGGGTGAGGGAGTAGGGCAGGAAGCAGAGGGCACATACGAGCATGCTGAAGCCAAGGGTCCTGACGGTCCTGCGGCAGCGCCAGGTCCTGCGGCCAGAGGCCACACGCCAGGCCAGCAGGGGGTAACCACCCAGGATGATGGTGCAGGGCACCAGGAAGCCCACCACCAGTGCATAGGTGCTGTAGGACCCAGACCCCACATCTTCCACAAAATCGTCAAAGCAGGAGGTCCGATTGTCAGGGCTAGTCCGGCTCAGGGGGCCACCCAGGGCCAGGGGGCTGGCCACACCCCCGGCAAACACCCAGAGCAGTGCGCTCCCCACAGCACAGTGGACCTTGCGAAGCTGGAGGCGTGTGAGGGGGTGGGCCAGCGCCACGTAGCTGTCTAGGCAGAGGCAGGAGAAAGAAGTGGTGCTCAGGTACATAAAGGCCCAGCGGAGGGCGGCACTCAGCCGGCAGGTCAGCTCCCCAAAGCGCCAGTCGCCCCCATGCAGATGGTAGTGGATTTGCAGGGGCAGGGTGCACGTGAAGGCCGCGGTAGCTACTGTCATGCTCAACAGGAGCACAGACGTGGGGCCGGAGCGCTTCAGCCGCAAGAGGAGGAGGCCCCCAGCCACCGCGTTCTCGGCCAGGCCCACGGCAAAGACCACACCGTAAGCCACAGCCAGTGGCTGGTGATGGCCCCACAACTGGATGACCACGTGACTTCCTGTGTCGTTCAGAGCCATTGGCATTGTGGCCGGGGCGGGCAGCACCCTGGGCCACAGCTCCACCTGTTGAAAATGACCAGGATTTTCTCCACTTCTGGTCAGTGTGGGGTCAGTGTACCCTCCCCCCCACAGGGCACCAGACAGAGGGCAGAAGGACCAGCTGAGGCTCCTTGTCAGTCACTTGTGAGAGAAGGAATCATGAGTACTCACTACCAGTCAGGCTGGAAGGCCTAATCCCCTCTCACTTACCCCCTCTCCCTCCCAAAACACCTGATGTCAACTCCTCCCCATGGGAAGGCAGGGAGAGCCATGGGTGGCATCTGTCCCTCATTCTAGGGGAAGCCTTGTTTCCTAGGTTCTGAGCTGGGCCTCAGGCCCCCTGACCTTGGGGAAGGTGAGGCCCATCTTGAGGCTTTGGCCAGCAGACCCCTGGGCAGGGAGGCCCCAGAGGAATGGGTTTCTCCCAGCTTTTAAATGGGAAGACCTGGCTCTAGAACCTGAGCATCCCCCAGCCTAGCCCAGTAGACCCCCTTCCTCCCCTGAGGTTTACTCACAGGAGCTGTGCTGAGCATCCACTGCTGGGCTCTGCTCAGAGTTCTCTGAGCCACAGGAAACTTTTCAACCTCAGAAAAGCAACAAGTGACACCTCCCCCTCCCCACCCCTCAAGGGCCCTAGGAGGCTCTCAGCCCCAAACCCACAGGAAACATCCGAACAGCCTGGGACTGCCTCTACAGAAATGAGGCTCCCCACGGAGTTCTTGGTGGGTGGGAAGCCTGCCATGGGTTGGGGGCTAAGGGCAAGGTTGGGGTGCAGAGGCCACAGGGACACACCCAGGACAGTCCAAATGTCTCCCCTTTATTTGCCCAAACTATATCCTGGGGCATCCCCGGTCCAGTCAGAGCCCAGGACCCTCTGGCACATCTCCTGAACTGCAGCCTCTTGAGACAGACGGGCGATTGTACCAGTCCTTGCCAGGGCCCCAGTCTGTGAAGAGAAGGCGGAGCCCCGGATATGAGGGGAGAAAATGGGCTCCCGCTGGCCCCAGGCACCTGGAGGCCCTTGAATGTCTGCTCATATCCTGCCTCCCCCCACCTCCCCGGTTGAACTGAAAGCATCTTTTGTCTGCTGAGCTCCCATCTCCACCAAGCTTGGGGTCCAAGAAGCCTGGGGGCTGGGGGTGGGATCTGAGCTTGGGACCATCCACGTGGGGCTTTTGTTGGGCAGCAGGGGAAGCAGAGGCTCACAGGGAGGAAAGTGGGACAGAAGCAATCAGCCTTGGGGCCGGGGGGGGGGGGGGGGGGAAGGAATGCTCACCAAGGCCTTCATAGTGCACAGATTTCAGGAACAGGCCCTGAGCAGGGGCCACCAGTAATCCAGGGCCACTCCAGGGGTCCTGACTCTCCAGCTTTTCCTTCACCTGGGAGGGGGTTAGGGTCCCCAACCCCACTGCCACCAGGCATGCGGTCATCCTCCGCACCTGCAGCATGGCCCTGAGGGCATCAATACCAATACCCCTCCAGAAGGCGTAACATCCCACTCCTATCCGATCCCCAGAATGGCAGCCTCACACTGCTGGGGGGATAGTCAGGTGACAAAACCACCTATCCCCGCCTCGGCGAATGAATGCCCAGTCTTGTCTAGAGGCTGGGCAATGGGTGAGACTATATGGATAAGGCCAAGGAACGTGGCCCTCTGCACAGTCTGCTCCCTCGTCACCACTAGGGGTCACTGTGAGCCTTGGCAATCCTTTCTGTGTTCCCCAGCACAAAAGGGGTTGGGGGATTAGGAATAGCTCCCCCCCCACCTCTATCTCCCTGCCTGTAAAATGGGCCACATACCTGTTTGTACAGGAAAGACTTGCTCTCAAACTCTATGTCCCAAAACTGCACCTTCCTGCAAATACAAATGTGCTGACTTGGGGGCCTCCCAGAGCCCTGGTGTCCCCCATTCCACAGACCCCTTACCTGCTCTCTGTCCCCAAAAGGTATCTTTTGCCCACTGACCAAAGGAAAAAACAGGGACCCGATAATGGGTTCAGCCCAGGTCGGGTCCGAGCCTGAAAGCCGCACCTCCACATCTGTCCCAGTAAGGCTAGCCTGAGACCATGCCTCCTTGCACCCAGTCAATCTCTGTACACACCCTTCTCTGGCCTTTTTGTTTTTGTCATCGATAAAATGAGAGGCTTAGACCACAGGAATTCTGAGCTCTTCCCACTCAGCTCTAAATCCCTCCTGTGCATCTCCTGGGGAATGGGGGGGGAATGCAGTGGGAGGGAGGAGAGAAGGTTGTCTGCCATGGCTCCTGGCCTTTCTACCAGGGACCCTGGAATGGAGGAGTGGCAAGCTGTCGGGTGTGGACGCCAGTCAGGGGCCCGGTGGTGACCCAGATAGGACATCGGCCCTTGTTCTAGCAGCCAGCCCTGGAGGAGCCCTGGCTGGGTCCTCTGCCTGAGCGCAGCTCAGTTCTATGCCCTTCACACAACAGTGCAAATGAAGAGAGCATTGGATTCAAATCCTGGACAATTCCCTAGGCATCGGTTTTTCCATCTTTGAAATGGGGGAGGGGGAGCTGGGGTAGATCACAGGCACAGATTTAGAGCTGGGAAGGGCCTTGGAGGCTGAGTGCAATCCAGCCTTGCAGGTGGCCCACTGGGTGGATTGCTGGGTCTGGAGTCGGGAAGAGCTGAGTTCAAATCTAATCTGTGACACTTATTGCTGTGTGACCCTGGGCAAGTTACCTAACCTCAGTTTCCTTATCTGCAAAATGGGGATCATAATAGCACCCACCTCCCAGGGTGGTTGTGAGGATCAAATGAGACAATGTGGAGTGCACAGTGCCTGGCACATAGTAGGTGCTATAGAAATGTTAGTTATTATTTTACAGATCAGGAAACTGAACTGAGAGGTTGTGACTTGCCCAGGGTCACATAACTAGTCATAACAGCTAGCATTTAGAAGCACTTTAAGATTTTTGAAACACTGCATGCTTCTAATTTTGACTTCTACATTTGATTCCCACCACAATCCTAGGAGCTAGGTGCTACTACTATCCCCATTTTGCAGATGAGGATGCAGAAACTCAGGGAGGTGACTTGCCCAGGGTCACACAGCTAAGTAAGCAAGCCCCTGAGGCTGGATTCAAACTCAGGTCTTCCTGACTCTGAAGTCTGACACTCTACCCACTGTCACAGCTGGTTGCCTCTCGACCTCTGAGCTGGTGATTTTCAACTGAATCCCAAGCTGGCATTGTCCTAGAATGGGAGCCTAACATGGGGTGCTAGACTGCAGGAGCTCTGGAACACTCTAAAAACCACAGTTCTACAACACACTGACTCAGGAGCTGCTCCAAGCTGGGCCCATGCACAGATGGAGACCAGGAGCCACAAATACCAGAGGAACCTTAGAGATGGCAAGCTCCTTCACTGGAGGAGAAACAGTAACTTGTTCCAGGATACAGAGTATCACCTGCTCCCGCCCCCGCCCCCATCAGGAAGGTGGATCATCAGGAAAGGTCTCTTAAGTTAGGGCGTTCTTTCTACTGCCTATGCATGGATGAACATAGCACTAGCATAATGCTGGGTAAACAGTAGGTGCTTAGTACAAGTGTGACCAGCAGGGGATGCTGGGGAGGGGCCCTACTCTGCCCCCTCAGTTCAGCTAAGAATTTAAAGGACAGTTTCCAAGGCGCCAGGTTGGACAGTGGGATGGGCAGTGCCAGGCACTGGTCTTGCTGCCTACCATGGGTGTTTCACCCTTATCTCCCGCCTGCCCTCCTTCCCCCCACCCAGTCATCTTAACCCTATGGTGAAGTGTCTGAGGAAGATGGCTGAGGGCCCAGTCGTGCACCCCCCTAGCGGGCACCTGCCCCTCACTGGCTGCCGAGGCCAGAGGACAGAGGATCTCTTTTCTGGCCTCTTCTCCCCTTCCTCCCCCCACCCCCACCACATCTGGCACAGAGACCCGCCTCCCCTCTTCCTGGGTCCTAGGAGAAAGGCTCTTTCTACAGCTGCCCAGCCTGCACCTGCCCTGGAGGGGCAGAGCCCACCCATACCCTGCCAGGGAAGCGGATGGCACCAGACGAGGCCCCAGCATGCCCCCAGATTTCAGCTGGGAACAGGGCAACTTATTTAGCCCCTGACTTCCTCAATTTACAGCAAGGGAAGTGGGGCCCAGGGAGAGGAAAGGACTTGGCCAGAGGTGGGGAACCTGTGGCCTCTAGGTCCTCGGGTGCGGCCCTTCGACTGAACCCCAAATCCCCTTAATAAAAGGATTTGTTCTGTAAGACTTGGACTCAGACAAAGGCCTCACCCGAGGACCTAGAAGGCCACATGTGGCCTCGAGGCCACAGGCTCCTCACCCTTGGCCTTGACCAAAGCTACACAGAAGTTGACGGCCGACCCGGCCCCAGAACTCAGGTCTCCCGGCTCAGTCCTGGGCTTTTGTTTCTTTGGTTTTCTTCTCCATAGATCTTATATCTAGCTGTGGATGGGGACAGGACAGAGCTGGCCAAGTGGGAACAAGACCAGGAGTCCAGCTGAGGCAGCAGGGTCTGGGGCAGACAGACTCAGGGGTCAGGAGGTCAGAGCGTTGTTGAGGTATTCTGGTAGTGAAATGAGGACCTGAGTTCAAATCTGGCCACTATCACTCCTTGGATAACTGCTCTTGCCTCAGTTTCCCCCCCAGGCCTCTCAGGTCCTTCCAGCTCTAAATCCACGATTCCTCTGAGCCAGAGACAGAAGCATTAGAAAGCAGGAGGGGAGCCACAACCACTAGTCTGATGCTGCCTGCCCAATGAGGGGTGTCAAATCAGGTCAAATCAGGACCAGGAGCAAGGGAGCCCTGTTCTGGGCAGGGGCTAGGCAGAAGGAGATCAGAAGGGTGTTAAGGTGGTCAACAAGCCCCAGGTTTCTCCATCTGGCTGCGTGCCAGACACTCAAGAGAGGTCAAGGGGAGAGAACCCAGAACCCTCTTCCCCGGGTCCAGCACCAAGCAGGGCCCCAGCAAAGTCCTGAAGGGGACATCTCAAGTCTCAGACCCTGGGGCAAACCCTCCCCTCTCCCACCCAAAGGGTCACTTCAGAAGCTATCTCGATGGCCTGAGGGGCACCAAGGGTGAGCCAGGCCCCCATCTGTCTTCCAATCTTTTTTCCCTCCCTGGGGGTGGAACCCTGAAGCCCAGAGGAGAGAAGGTGGGCAAAGAGAAAAGCCAACATTATTTGCCTACAGGCTCTGGCATCAACCCCAGTGTTTGGGAGGGTGGGGAGAGACAGGTGATGGGGATGCATCCTCAATGAGTGGCTCCATTTGCAATTCAGCTGGAGGATGGGGCCTCAGAGAGGCTTTCATGGTTGCTAGGCAACCCCCGGGAGCCCCAGTCCCCCCCACCCCCAAATCCCTTCTGTGAATAGACAAGCAGCCAATTGAGAAAGGGGGCAGGAGGGGAGGGGGAGCAGGCCAGGTGAACAAATGAACAGTTTCTCCTCAGCCTAGGCTCGCCTGCCTGCCCAGCAGGGTCAGCTAGGCCTCCACCCCCAGCCTTTGCTTAAACCAGGAGCTGGACTCCCTGGGTTCCTCGGATCTGCTGGAGGGTCCCCAGGGTCACTGCATCCACCCCTCTGTCTCTGGGCGAGGCCTCCCACCCCCAGCTCTCCATTTGATCAGCTCCAGAGCTAAATTTAGCCTGGCTTCCACCCCCAAGTCACAGAGCATGAAATGGAATTTGTTGGAGCTGGGTACCCAGGGGCGGTAGCGGGTGGTGGTGGAGGGGGGCACAGCTGTGAACACAGGCCTTAGCAACTCCCCCCCATGACGGGCCTGGCTTAGCTCAGCACTGATGCCCAGTGGGGATGGGGCACAGGGAGGAAGGACGGGTGGGAGCCAATCGCAAGGACCAAGGCCCGGGATCGGTGCGTCCAGGGCCCAGAGCTCAACCCCTACACAAAGCGCTCCCAGGACAGGGGCCCCCAGACAGAGAGCTTTCCCTCCGTGTGTACCCCTCCTGCTCCCGGGTAGAGGCTGGCCTGGGACTTTGCTAGGTGTCCTGGGTGCTACCCAGATCTGGCCTTTGCGGGGGATGCTGTTAATCCCCTCCCCTAAAGCAGGTACTGAGGCCAGAGAGAGCCTAAGGGGAGGATGGAGTTTCGGAACAACCTGGCTCAGAACTCATCCAGTGGGCTGGTCATGGTCTCCCCCAAGGCTGCTCTTCAGGGTGCTGCTGCCTCGCTCGGCACCCCGCCCCCAGCTCTCCCACTCCTCTGGGCAGGCTGGGCCTGGCTGGCCCCAGGACAAAAGCATCAGACTGCCCCCTGCCCAGGACAAAGGAGGGAGGGACGGGGATCACCAACTCTCAGCTGCGTGAGTAGCGACAGCCTTCCTTACCATCTTGCCATACACTCTATTGCCCGAGGGTTAGGGGAAGCTCTCAGCCTCACAGGTCCCACAGGGCAGGGAACCCATCTGGTCCCGAAGATGTAATCCCCTCCAGGGAGACGTGAGAGCCCTCCCCGGCTCTGGGGACCTGACGGCTGAGAGACAGAAAGGCTGTGTGGCTGAATTAAGACACAGCCCAGCCCCTGTTCCTAGGGAGACTCCTGTCTCCCAGTCTGAGAGGGTGACCTGGCCCAAACTTCCTCCTTACCTCTTCTCCTGGGGATGGGTGAAGGGGCTGGCTGGTGCAGGGACCACAGAGGCCCGGAGCAGTGTCTTGACAGGGTTCTGCCAGTTATTCTCACTTGCTGACCTAAAGGCCTGGAAGTTGTGGGTGCCCTGGAGATGCTGGGCGGCCTCCTGCATGGCCTTCACATCCAGGTGACTGAGGGCAGAAGAGGGTGGGAAGCCATGAGGGCATTCTCCCAGCTCCCACCCAGCCCAGGGACTGGCCTTCTCAGTGGCAGCAAGGAAGAAAGGATAGAAAACGTTCTCTCCTAGGCCCAGGGGCCTCAGCGTCTGCCTAGCCCCTTCCCCTGAATATGAGCTAAGGGTGGGGAGGGGGCAGCATAAGTCACAGCTCGGCACTTACTCAGTCCTCAGTGCCCAGCACAGGTTCTGTTCAAACACAGACAGCGTGTCCAGGGGGCAGCCGGTTGCCACCCGGTACAGGTAGGTCCTTGACGTGGCTTCAAAGCGAGCGTGGAAGTCGTCGGGGGCCCGAAAAGCTCGGATCACCCTGGAAAGGCAGGCGCTAGGATTAGACTGCGGGAAGAACTTCCAGTGTCCAAGACTAGCTGAAGGAGATCACAGAAGACAGGAGGATACATTGGTGCCCTGCCTGTGCCCACCTCCACAAGCGAGGACAGCCAGCGCAGAGGCAGGAGACAACTTCCAGAGGGCCAGCAACTGGCGACTGACTCAGTGAGTGGGAGGTGGCAGCACCTGGGCCTCTGCTCAGAACCAGTTTTAAAAGACCCTGAGGTTGGGGGATTTCAACAGATCACCAAGAATCTATGTGTCAGGCACAATGCTAAGGAATGGGGAAACAAAGGTAAAGAAGGAAAGGGTCCCCGCCCCAAGGAGCCTCCATCCTAATGGGGGGCCAAGGAGGAATGTAAGCAGATACAGAGCAAAAATACAAAATCGAGGCAAGGTAATTAAGCACGGGCCTCAGCAGTCGAGGGGGTCAGGGAAGGCTGGGTCAGAAACGAAACCAGGGATTCTATGACAAGGGAGGAAGCATGGTGAAGGGAGACGGACAGCCCTATGGAAGGGTGGGAAAGGCAGTGAAGAGCAATGAGGCTGACAGGTGTAGCGGGCAGAGAACTGGCCTCAAAGCCTGAAAGGCCTGGGCTCCAGTCCCACTTCTGACACACACTAGCTATTTGACTCTGGTCAAGTCAACTAACCTCTTGGTACTTCTAGACCAACGGTGTCAACCTCAAATAGAAACGGGGCCTGCTAATTAATTCATGAGGAGCCCCACGGGCAATGTGCTTAGTTTTAAAATGTGTTATCTTCAATTTTATTGGATTTCTATTTCTTTTGTTAAATATTTCCAAATGACACTTTAACATAGTTTGGGCTGCACTTGTAGGCCACACACTGGCTGGGGAGGGGAGGGAGGGTGGGGAGGGTGGACACTTCTCCACTAGGCAGAACCCTACAGAACTCCAGGTCATAGAGAAGGTGCAGACCTGTGTTGGTGGAGGGAGTGTCCTCATCTGGAAGTTCCCTACATGAGTGGCATCACAGATGGCATCACTGGGAAGGCAGGCTGGAGCCAGGCTGGAAAGGTCTTTACCAGGAGTTTCTATCTGATTCTGGAGGTGACAGGGAGCTACTGGAGTTTATAGAGGAGGTGAGTGACACAGTTAGATCTGTGCTTTAGGGAGATCACACTGGCAGCTGCATAGAGGGGGATTCCTGATCTATTGGAGGCTGGACGGGAGTGAGCAGGGCACTGAGACCAGCAGCTACCACAATAGTCCAGGTGGGAGGTGATGAGGATCTGCACCAGGGTGGGGTGGGGGCAGAGGAGAGACGGGGGCACATTCGAGAGATGCTGTGAAGCTAAAACCGACAACAGGGAGGAAGAGTGGGGAGTCAACAAGGATACCAATACTGGTGAGCCAGGGTGCCGTGGATCAGCGACAGGGAAGTTTGGGAGAGGAACAGGCTTTGGGATAAGGAGAGAGGTCAGTGTTGGACATGCCGAGCCTGAGATGCCTACAGGACATCCACTGGGACAGGACCATAGCTTGGGACAAAGGCCGACTGCCACTGACTTCGTAGATCTGGGAATGGGCACAGAGGTGAAAAGGAAAACCATAGAAGCTGATGAGGTCATGGACAGAGGGTATATCAAGAAAGAAGAGAGCCTTATGCAGAGCCCTGAGGCCCATCCATGGCCACAGGGGTCAGCTATGGACCAGGATCTCCTAGTTCTGGTCCCTGATGCCACAGGCCAACATCAAATCCTGGGCTAGGAAGAGGCTACTTCCTGCCCCTCCCAGAGCCAGAAATAATCATGAGCCTTGAAGAGGTGCTAGACAAGACTGGCACCGTGACACCCCCAGAGGCCAACCAGTCCATCTGCCCCCATACACATCCTGGCCTCCCAGCCAGTCCCTCCCAAAGGTGGATCATCTCTATCTCCTGCTCTCGGCAATTCTAGGAAGGGGCTGTCCAAGACGCCTGGTGCTGATCCTTGCTCACATGAGAAGCCCTTTCTAAAACAGAGCCGTAAGAAGCTGAGATACTTGGGGAGACCCCAAATCCTTGGGGCTGACATCAAGCCTGGCAAAACCTGAGGATTGGATCATGGAGAACCAGGGGGAGAGGCTAAGCTCAGGCTCCCTCCAAAACCTGGAACAAGACTGTGCCCTGAGGAATGTATGTTAACCGACTAAGGGTGGCCTAGCCTACGTCTGTGGGCGGGGTGACAGAGAGGGGCTGGGCCTGAAGGATCTGGGGGGAGGTTTCTGTACCTGATGTCAGGGTGCGCCAAGTGTCTATTGAGGGCTAACGTGAGGATATCAGGTGAGAAAGGGGGTCGGCCAGTCAGGCGCTGAACGTCTAGATGGGCAGAGTTCTCGAGAGCGTGGACACCAGCGTCCGTTCGGCTGGAGATGTTAAACTTGACCGGCGTGACGGACCTCAGCCGCTCTGCAGCTTTCTGCGATTGGATGGTATGTGGGTGAGGCAGGGACCCCATTTATCCCCTTCCCCTGCCCTCAGCGGGATAGTGCCCAATGAGGCAGCGCAGAGCTCCTGAATCTGGAATCCCCAAAAGTCCCGGGATCCTACCTAGCTTGTTCTGTGACTTTGGAAGAGTCCCTTCCCCAGTCTGGGCCTCAGTTTCCCCCTCTGTAAAGTGAACAGGCTGGGCCCCATGATCTCTAGATCTCTTCCAGCTCTGAGCCCTACGATCCAGTGCACCCGCAGGCTAGAAGTTCCCCAGGGATCTAGAGGAATCTTGTACCATGGCAGGACTCGGGGGAAGGTCATGCTTTCCAAGGATCCATCCACCTACTCACAGTCCTGCCTCAAGTTTATATGCCGTGGTACAGTCTGTGTTATGGGGATCCAGGCGCTCCTGGACTCTGCAAAAGTTCAAGCCCCAGCCACCCTACTGCTGCCCCCATCTTATTCAGTGACCTGTTTCCAGACAGCATGAGGTCTTTCTGTCCACTCCCCCACCTCCAGCCGGGCAACTGCGTGGAGTCCCAGCCCCCACATAAACAGAGACTTAAATCAAGGGGCAGGGGTGGAAGGCTAACAGTAGAGATGGCATTTGCACCTACATTCCGGCTAACTCCTGGCTGTCCCATCCCCAGCCTTACCTTCCTTGTGCAGACCAATGCCCTTCTCCCTCACCGCCACCTTACAGCGCCTTTGGGGCTCCACTCACCCGCTGCCTCCTATGGAGAAGCCTCTCCTGACCCCCGCCCCCGCACTCACTCCCTTCTCCTCAAACCATCCTGTATCTATATCCCGGACAGCAGACAACGCACTCACCTCGAGAAGATTCTGGACTCCAATCCCCTGCTTTGGCTGTTTGACAGCCATGACCCCACTGTAGGGAGAGAGAGAGACAGAGACGAAGAGAGAGACAGAGGGGGGAGGGAGGGAGGGAGAGAGAAACACAGAGACAGACAGAGACAGATACAGAGAGAGAAACAGAAAAGGGGGAGGAAGGGAGAGAGATGGAAGGAGATGGGGGGAGAGATACACACATAGAGACACACAGAGAGCAGAGGGGGGAGGGAGACACAAACAGAGAGAGAGATGGGGGGAGGGGGAGAGAGAGAGAGGCAGTGAGTCACAGCCATGCACCACTCCCACCTCTGGGAGGCAGGGACCCTAGAGCACAGAATGTCAGAGCAGAGAAGAACCCATATCCATCCAGTTTAACCACCTCAGGTTAGAGATAGGAAACTGAGGCGAGGGGGTGGGGGGTTGCCAACACCACCCCATGGTCCCATCAGGTCCCAGAAGGCAGGGACTGCTTTCAGCACACAGAGGGCCCGTTGCCTTGGCTTGTTACAATCAGCACAGGGGTCACCTCTCGTTATGAGGGGTGATTCCCCCTAAGTCATTCTTTTTCCTCTTGAATTGATTTCTCTGTGGGAGCCTCCAAGATCCTGCAGGCACCCATCTCTGGCCTCCTGGCCTTGGGGTTCTTCTTTGGAACCCGAGCCTGAACACCAGGGAAAGAAAGATGGTGCATAGCAAAGATGCTTTTCTGCAGTGGCCCCTTTTCCCCTGCCATGGCAGGTTGGGCACCCAATGGGGACCCTCCTCTAGACCTTCTCACGATGTATGTGTACGTGAAGAGAGGATACGGACTTTATCCTTTACTCTCAACTAGGCCCTCACTGCTGCATGGGCATTCTTTGGTCCTTCCCTATCTATTCTGGCAAGTTATTGCTCGTGTGACCTGGGGTGAATACTTTCTCCTCTTTGGGCCTCAGTTTCCTCATCTATAAAATGATGAGGTTGGAGAAGGTGGCCTTTGAGGTCCTCTGCAGCTTGAGAGCTACAAACTCTGTTGCAAAGGGCCTCAAACTTTGGCTTTAGGACCCCCTTACCCTCTTAAAAATGACTGAATACGCCTCCCCCCAAAAAAGAACTTTGGTTCATGTGGGTTTTCTCTCTTGATATTCACCATATCAGACATGAACACATCTTAGTATTATCAAGAAAAGAGCTTTTAGCTCAAGGAGTCCCTGAAACGGTCTCAGGAGCCTCCAGGGGACCCCAGACCACACTCAAGCACACTCCATGTTAACTTCTATTTCCATGCCACATCAACATTGGCCCTCGGCTCAGGCTGCATTGAAGAAACTAAAGCTGCCGCAGCCAGCTTCCCCAATTCTACACTTCCAATCGCCTCCATTTCAGCTCTCCCCATGCCTTTGCCCCAGGCTCAAAGGATGAGGCCACCCTTCTCTTTGCCCTCTGCCAGCACTGGGGGTTCTTGGCCCCTCCCGTAGTCTGCCCCTTCCATCTTCTCTTATATCCACCTCATTCCAAACCTCTTTTTATCCCCATTGCCATGAACGCAACCAGATCGTGGCCAAGTCTAAAAAAAACCTGCTTTGACATCCCCTCGAGCAACTGCCCTAATTCTCCCCTTCTAGAGGAAGACAAAGCTCCTGGCGCATTTTCACCTCTATTTTCTCACCTCCTACTCACTTCTCAAGCCTTGGAAATCGAGCTGCTGAAATCGCTCTCCCCAAGGTCACCAAGGACTATTTTATCAGCCTGTTCTTAGATCTAGTTGACCTTCAATGGTTGGACACTGGTCACCACCCCTGCCTCCCTGGGTTTTGGTGATATGACCCACTGGTCATGGTCCTCTACCTGTAGAAGCCCTGAGCCTCCTCAGTCTCCCCTGGAGAATCAGCCTCCACGGGTTTAATCATCACCTCTTTGCACGTGACTCCCAGATTTATAATTGTTGTTGTTCAGTCGTATCCAACTCTTCGTGACCACACGTGGGGTTTTCTTGGCCAAGATACTGGAGTGGTTTGCCATTGCCTTTACAGATAAGGAAACTGAGGCAAACAGGGTGAAGTGACTTGCCCAGGGTCATATACTTAGTGGGTACCTAAGGTCGGATTTGAACTCAGGTCTTCCTGACTCCAGGCCCAGTGCTCTATCCACTGCACCACTTAGCTACCCCTATACACCCAGCCCTAACCTTTCTCCTAAAGACTGGTCCTGCATCTCCAACTGCCTACCTGGCCAACATCTCCATCTGCGTGTTCCATTGGCCTTTGGTGGCACTGTGGATAGAGCAACGGGCCTGGAGTCAGGAAGACCTGGGTTCACATCTAGTCTCAGATACTTATTAACCCTGTTTGCCTTAGTTTCCTCATCTGTAAAATGAACTGAAGAAGGAAACAGCAAACCACTCCAGAATCTCTGCCAAAAAAAACCAAAACAAAACCCACAAACAGGGTCACAAAGGGCAGACACAACTGAAAATGAATTAATAAGAATGTCTAGAACAGAACCCATTTCCCCCAAACCCCTCACTACCCCTAATTTCTCTCTCTGTGTTCAGAGCACCACGTCTCTTTCTAATCCAATCCAATCCACACATTAAGCTGATCCTGTGTGCCTGGCACGGTGCCAGGCACTAACTATGTAATTACTAAGAAGACAGACAATCTCCCTCTTCACAGCCACCAAGGAGTAAGACCCCGGTCACTCTCCACTCCTCACTGCCCATCATCTCCCACATCCAATTCCTGGCTAAAGCTTGAGGTTTCTGCTTCCCCTTTGCCTCCCCCACCAACCCCCAGGGCTGGGCCCTCCGGATCGCTGCGGCAGCCCCACCAGGTCTGAGCCTCTCCTTCCCCTGTGCAAGAAACTCCAGCAGCTCCCTCCTGCCTCCAGGATAAAAGCCAGACTTCTCTTGGCTTAAGCCCTTCCCAGGCTGGTTCCATAGAGAGTGGACATTGCAGCCAAACTGGGCTCTTGCCATTCCTCATAGGTGACAATCCGCCTTTCACCTCGATTTGTACAGACTTTTCCCGAGTGTTTGGAATGCTCTCCCTCTTTATCTCCTCCTCTTGGAATCCCTAGTTCCCTTCCAAACTCAGCTCGAGCTCCAACTACCTCCTATACTAGGCTCTTCCTCATCCCTCCCACTGACAAATCACTGCATCCATTTCAAATTTACTATACATTTCACGAAGCAGCTGGGTGGCTCTGTGGATAGAGAGCTAGGCCTGGAGTCAGGAAGAACTGAGTTCAAATCCAGCCTCAGACACTTACTAGCTGTGTGACCCTGCGCAAGTCATTTAACCTGTTTGCCTTAATCCACTGGAAAAGGAAACGGCAAACCTCTCCAGTATCTTTGCCAAAAAAAAAAAAAAAAAAAAAAATCCAAGGACAGCATTGGCATGCTACAGTCCACAGGGTCACAAAGAGCTAAAATCAGTCAGTCAATAATCATTTATTAAGCACCTACTGTGTACTAGGGAAGGAAATGGAAAACCTCTCCAGTATCTTTGCCATGTAAACCCCACGGGCAGTAATGGCATGCTATGACCTATGGGGTCACAAAGAGCTACAAGCAGTCAAACATTTATTAAGCTCCTGCTGTATACCAGAGAAGGAAACCACAAACCTCTCCAGTATCTTTTCCAAGAAAATTCCATGAATAGTACTAGTGTGCTATGTGCTAACAACAACATATGTATCACTTTTCTCCAACAGAATAAAAGCTTTTTTAAAATTTGTTTTTTACTTTTGGGGAGAACTGGAGTTAAGTGACTTGCTCAGGGTCACACTGCTAGTAAGGAGAACAGAAGCTTCTTGAGGGGAGAGACTGTTTTTGTCTTTGCATGGAGAGCACATGGTACAGTGCTTGGCACACTGTAAGACTGTGAGTTCCTTCCCATGATGAACAGTGGAACTGAATTCTGAGCACAGACTGAAGCAGAATTGTTTCACTTTCTTTATTTTTCTTTTCTTTTTAACATGACTACTACGAAAATATGTTCTGCATGACTTCATATATCATGCCGCTTGCCATCTCAAGCAGTGAAAGAGGGGCAGGAGGAGGGCAAGAATTTGGACCTCAAAATTTAAAAAAAAGAATGTTAAATTTTTTTACGTTTAATTGGGACACATTTAATGAAATAAACAATATATATTATTATTGCTATTATTATTTTCAATCGGGAGCTCCTTGAGGGCAGGGGCTGTCTTTTGCTTCTTTTTTGTAAATCACAGTGCCTGGCACATAGTAGGCACTTAAATGTTTACTGCCTGACTAGACAACATATACCTATTGAATTAAATCCCTGAAATCACAGCTCCAAGAGGCCTCTCCAACCCCAACTCGGTTGTGAGTTTTAATATCCCTCCTGAAATTACTTTGGGGTGTTTCTACAAAGTCTTACAGTGGTTAAGAGGACCAGACCAGAAATCATCAGAGGACAAGAGTTCTAATGCTGCCCTGGACAGCCATTAACAACCCAGGCCTGACCTCAGGCAAGTCACAACCTCCCTGGGCCTCAGTTCCCTATCTGTAAAACCAAGCGGTTAGGCTGGATGATGCCGGAGGTCTCCACCCAGCTATGGTGGATGTTTTCTTTATTTCCTTCTGTTCCCCTCCCCCCAGTAAAATATAAGCTCCCTGTGGGCACAGCGTTTTTTGTTTTTAAATCTCTGAATCCCCACTAGATTGGCAGGTCCTAATTAATGTTTAAATTGAACTGAATCCCCACTCTCCAGGGGGGGCTGGGTCAAAGTGCACAAGTCAGTCCAAACCGGGGTCCTTTTGACCCTCCTCCTTCTCCCCCCACCCCTATAATAGCAGACAGGCAGTGACTCTAAACAAAGCTGTTTCCCCATCAGGCAGAAATGTTTAGAAACCCAGTTTCCTGAAAACATCTCCAGTCTGGGTGCCTTCTTTAAATGGCCATCCTAAACTT